CGTGGCGGCGAAGCGATTGCAAAAGGCCAAGGAGGAGGCCGCGGAGGGTACCATCGTGCCCTGTGACGCTAGGGGGCCCAGTGGGCCTTTCATCGTTGCCGATGCGGCGAAGAGCATGCTGTCCTACGTCCCACCCCCGATGCTGCCCCAGTTCGAGATGCCGTCTGATCGGCCCGACCGGTCCCATCAGCTCGTCTGTGCGGACGGGCACCGCTCCGAGCCCCAGGCGACGGCGTCGGAGGTGACGGCGAGCGAGGTCCAGGCGAGCGAGGTCCAGGCAGCGCAGCCGAGCCAGGTCCAGGACATCGTTTTAGCGGAGGCGGCGGGTGCGACCCCGACGGCGAGCGAGATCCAGGTGAGCGAGGTCCAGGCGGCGCAGCCGAGCGAGGTCCAGGGCCAGGCGAGCGAGGTCCACGACGTCGAGGTCCAGGCGGCGCAGCCGAGCCAGGTCCAGGACATCGTTTTAGCGGAGGCGGCGGGTGCGACCCCGACGGCGAGCGAGATCCAGGTGAGCGAGAATACGCTACACTTTCCTGCTTCCCCGCCGACGGACGGCGTCGCCGCGACGGGCGCCAACAGCTCGCCGCAGGAGGAGCTGCCACACTTGGACGACTTGGAGGGCGACCTCGAGGCGGTCATTGAGCAGGCCGATACCGTTGCTGCGCTCACCGAGTCCAAGGGCGCCTTGGTGGCCGTCGGCGCGCAGGACCCCGACGACGACCACGTCCTCGATGGGGCGGCCATCCTGTCTGGGTTTCAAACCTTGACCAGTCTCCCCGAGGAGGACCCCTCGGGCTCCGAGGACGTGCAGGATGACCTGGATGCAAAAAAGGCTGGGGTCGGGCGAAACCAATTAGTTGTTTAGTTGTTCTTTTTCGGTTCGTATTTAATGGTTTAATTGTCCCGGGGGGCCCCGGGGGGCGCCCGTCTCCCGGGGGGTAGGCTCCCGGGGGGTCTACAATTAAATCACAATTAAATGAAAAGTGACACCCCTATCGAGGATGATTTAATTGTTGATTTAATTGTGATTTAATTGTGCGTCCTCCCGGGGGGTCCGCTCCCGGGGGGTCCCGGGGGGTCGCGCCATTAAACAATTATTCCCAACCAACAATTCCCCAAAAACAAATAATTCACACCAACAATCATTCCCCATTGGGAATGGAATGTGGCCTTCCCCGCACGCAGACGAGGGATATGTACCCCTGACCCCCCATCTCTTGAAAAGCATCGGCGCCCGCCCCGTCCGGCGTGGGCAGCGCCCCCTCGCATTCCACGATTGCCCTGCGAGGCTGCCAATGCAGTGCCAGAACCCACCGAGCCCCTGCAGATAGCCTTGGAGCAGTGGCACTCGCAGCTTTCTGGCGATTCTGTGGTGAAGCTGCGGGATGGGCTGAAGGCTTTCGTGACCGAGCCGCTGCGGCTGGGAACAGGGTGCTCAGGCTGTGAAATCACGTCCAAGACGCTCTCCATGCTGGCGGACTACTGGCGGGATGAGTACGGCATCGAGGTGGCGCCTCTTGAGCTCTTAAGCCCCCCCCGGCCTGATGCATCCTCCTGTGCTGCCCTCCCCCATCATGCTTCTGACTTCATCCGCCTCCTCCCCTCCGCCATCCTGCTCTCCCATCTTGCCCGCTGCTGCCTCCGACGACGATTCCCCTTCCCTTGTCCTCCCTCCCATCCCAGCTCGCAGCCCATTTCACTTGCCTCCAATGCCCTGTCCTCTGCCTCATTCCCTTTCCCCCCAGGTGCGCACGGAGCTCACCTTCGCCTGCGAGAGCGACGCGGCCAAGGCCAAGTTCATCATGGAGGAGAACCCAGAGTGCACTATTGTGTTCAAGGACATGTGCGAACTGAAAGACGCCCACGCGACTAACTTCATCGACGATCAGAAGGTGGCCGTTCCACGGATCGATATCTTTATTTGTGGGTTCGTTTGCAAAGACAAAAGCAAATTGAATTCCGCGAGGTCCAAGTTCAGCAAGTGCGTGCAGAATGCTTCGGGCACTCCCTCCAAGTCCAAGCAGGAGGGCGGCCTCGGGTCAGAGTCTCTTCCTTCTAAGACGGCTGAGACGTTTGAGCACGTCAGAGCGTATGTGGCACAAAACAGACCTACCATGCTGATTCTCGAGAACGTCCCAGAGTTCGCGAACAGGAAGAAGGAGAAGAACGAGAAGGGCAGCGAGGGCAAGTCGGATCTCGACGACGCGATTGAGAAATTAGAGGCCGTCGGGTACGCGGTCAGCTACAACGTCTACAACGCCGAGCAGCTCGGTTCACTTGCCAAGCGGCCCAGATTGTGGATCGTGGGGATCCTCAGGGCCGAGGCGGGGGACAAGGCGGATGCCATGCTCCGCCACTGCCACGCCCTGATGGGCGAGGTCAGGATCCCTCAGCTTGACTACCAGGCGACGTTCGGCGACAAGGGCGAGGACCTGCTTGAGATGGAGCCCGCCCCGGCAGAGAAGGAGGGCACTGTCAAGGACCCGCTGTTCAAGGACGACCACTTGGAGGCGTTCAGGGCCACAGATCTATCCTACCCCCCAGACATGGCTTCGTTCGACCCCGACTTCAAGGCCGCGTGCGAGCCGCTCGATGAGCGCGCCACAGAAGTGTTAGCATTTGCAGAGCAAGTGGAACCATGGGAAGATGACGGCCGCATGCAATTCACCGATGCGAACTTATCTCTGCGTTACTTGGCTGGGCCCAACCTGGACCGCCCGATTTACACCACGACTTGCCCTGTCATCGCGGCGTCCTCGAAGATCTTTGTCAGGGGCATTCGTGATGGCAAGAAGTACTGGGCCCTCCTGCCAGGCTCCATGGTGATGAGGCTGATCGGCTACCCCACGTTCACGTCGGATTCCCTGGGCGAGTTCGAGAGCAAGACGCTGTCGTCGCTGGGCGGCAATGCCTTCAGCGGTTACCACATCGTGCCTGTGCTTATGGGGGCGGTCAGCGTCTTGAAGAACCCTTCCTTTTAGGCTCGCTCCCCCGTTCCCCGGTGCCCTTGGGCGCGCAGTCTTGATGGGCGCGCAGTCTTGATAGCGGATGGGTGTCCGCTGGCCGCAAGGAAATGATAATTACTTCAACAAGTCCCGCCGCCCCCTACATCAGCAGCAAACGGAGACGGCCCGATTGGCCCCGAGGGGTCCACGCCGCTGCTAAAAAAACGCCAAGTGGTTTTCGTGGACTTGGGTATCTCAGCGGCCCCCCCCTCCGGGGCTACGATGGCGCTGTAAGCGTGAAGGGGAGGGGGGTGCGGGGGAGGTGGGGGGCATGGAGGTGAGGGGAGGATGGGGGAGGAGGAGTAGGAGGAGCAGTCCTCATGAATTTATGGCGGTGCCAGCCTCCCCCCCTAGAATGCAAGGGCCCCTACTTTGCTTTAACGCTCATGGCAGTGGAGCGCATTCCACATATTCCCGCGCCCCCCCGCGGCACAGGCGGGATAGCCTACCCGTTTCCGACTGCCTCCTCCTCCTCTTACCCCTCTTCTTCCTAGCTCTCAAAATGTTCTTCAACGTTTTAGAGCATGTACATCATCCTCTTCCCTTACCCCCTCCTCTTCATCTTCCCCTAGCCCCCGCCTGCTTCCCTTGCCTCGTCCACCTCGCCCCCCCTCCTCCTCCGAGGGCTCTGGCTCCGCTATCAGGATGCCGCGGAAGTTGCCGTGGTCTTCGGTGCCCCCGCCGCGGCGCGAGGTCGCCGCGAGCCGCTTGCCGGCGATCGATGGCCCTTCGCCTTCGCACCCCAGGCCCCTAGACCCCGCGGCGAGAGGCGACGTCGACGAGGGCGCGGAGGGCGCAAGGGGGGTGGAGGCGGAGGAGGAGGGAAAGAGCTCCAAGGAAGTCGATTGGCGAGATGTAGACAGCGAGGCACGAGACTCCCAAGAGATCCCCGCTGAGAGCTCGGATACCGACGAGTACATCTCGTCCGAGCCCCGCCGCCGGAAAGAGGCGAAACGTGAAGCCCGTAATATGGAGATGGTTTCGGAATGATTGATTCTCGCACTTCGATGGCCCTAACCCCGCGCACCCCGAGGCCTCGCGCCGCACCCCTCATCCCATATGTGTCTAGCGGGGGAGGGCGGGGGGCCAGGGATAGGGGATAGGGCCGTCGAGGTGCGCGGAGCGCTCATTCGGCCCCCTCGCCCCCAGGAGGTATTCGTGAACTTGGCGGCCGATAATTCGGGGGGGAACTGCGGGCTGCGACACGGGTTCTTCTCCTCCTCATCGTCGACCTCTGTTCTCCTCCTCACCCATCCGCCCTCCGCTTGCAGCCTCCTCCTCACCGCCCCATCCCCCATCCCACCTTCCCCTTACGCCCAATGCAACGGCACTTGCCCCCCGAAGCGTGCGAGGGAGCAGGCGCCCAGTTCCGCCGACGGCGTTTCGAGTACTTCTTCCAAGCGTGAGAGGCCCGTCTGCTCTCCGCCACGGGCTGACGCGAGGCAATTCAGGCTTGTCGATTCGACCCTCGGCCCTCCGACCCCGCCGCACCGCCGAGGTTGCTTGTGCGAGATGTGTAGGGTGGTGAAGCGTTGCAGATTGACGTAGGACGTAGGTTTCGGCTTGCAGGAAGCGCTGAAGTACAGGGGAGCACGCGTGCGATCATTCATTCAAGTATCGCCTCGCCCCCAGAGACTCTATCAGGGAGAGGGGGTGAATCGGGGGCAAAGGGTTGAATGCTGATTGAGGGGGCTTGAGAAGACCTCCTCCTCCACCTCTCGCACCCCCTTCGCCCTCCCCCCCATCGCTCCTGGCCCCTCGTTCCAGAGCGGCAAGCAGGAGCGAATGGGAAGCATGGAGGGGCGAGGGGGTGGCGGGGAGGCGGTGGAGGAGGTCTTCTTTCTGGCCACCCCCGAGCCGAGGGCATCGGCATCGTCCCATAGCTATTTCCATCGAGCCATTGCCACTGCTATCGCCTGTCGGCGACCGCGCACCACAAGTCGCTGGGCCTCCTTGGCCGCCTCGCGTGGGCCCGCTCCCGGCCCGCCTTCAGCGATGATGGAGCCCGGCGAAGTCCAGGGTTGCGGCGGCGCGCCGCCGCCGCCTCCGACGACGGGGGGGACATTCGGGCGTCGGGGGTTCGAGAGGCTCAGGCGGGAGGCCACAGGCTTCGAGAAGCGCCTGCGTGAGGGCTGCGAGGAGCGCGGCCCCACTCCAGATCCCAAGAGGTCCAGGGCAGGCCCTAAAGCATGCGTCGTGGTCAAGCCCGACGGGAGGAAGTGCCGTTTCTGTTCGATTACGGACGACACGCCATGGATAGTTCAGGGTGACAGTGATCATGAGTTCTGGGTGTGGGGGTACCCCCCGTACCCGAGTGGGAAGAACCAAGGCAACGTCTGCTGGATATGCATGAGGGTCTTCTGCGCCCGCTATGAGGCCAAGGGCTACAAGATATCGACGCTGGTGGTGAAGATGGGATCCGACAAGGACATCAATACTGAGTTCACGAAGTACCGTGAGCAGCTGACCGAGATGGTCAAGCAGCACGGCATGGACTTCCCCATCGATTGGAAGACATTCGACGAGGTGCTTTCGACCCAAAACGAGAGCAACGTGCGGATCCGAGAGCCCGAGGACCAGTACATGGAGTACAGAGATTACGTGGGTGACCACGGAGATCCAGCCACGAACGGCTTGGGCCACGAACGCTGCACGTTCATGAACAAGGACATGGTCCGCATGCCAGCCAAAAAGGTGTGGAGGGTGATTCGCGAGTCAGTCGATAAGGTGGTCAAAAAGAAGGTATACAATATCGGCGACGGCGTCGGTGAGGGCCAGCTCGACGCTAACTTCGCGGACATGTCCGCGTCGCTCTTCTCTTCGCTGCCCAGGGCCACGGGGGTCTGTCTCGACGAGCTGCTCTCGCAGAAGAAGAGCCCGACGAAGGACTCGCAAGAGCCCCCCCCCGGGACTGCGTCCGCTGACGACGAGGATGACAAGCTTGCCTCTTCTTCGGCTGGCATTGGCCGAATGGCGCAGATGCTCGCGCCGTCTGGTTCTAGCGGTAGCGCGGCCGCCGCTGCCGCCCCCGCCCAGGACAAGCAGCCCGCCGAGTCGGCGGCTCGGAAGCGGAGGGCACAGAAGGAGGCGGATGCGGCCACGACGGCTGTCAGCAAGGCAAAGCCCGCGCACAGCTCCGTGCCAGGGGCGAGCACTGGCAAGCGCGGCCGCCCGGAGCAGCCCCCAGTGCCGGTGGCAGAGGAGGAGTTGAAGGTATTCAAGGCATGCGGTCCGAACGAAAAGTACTTCGAGCAGGCCCAGCACTTCAGGCGTTCATTGGAGCGGTCGCTCAAGAAGATTCAGAAGCTCGTCAGTGATACGTCCGAGCCAGAGGAGTACCACCTGAGATTGCAGAAGAGTTTGCAGACCATGTTCGACGTCTCCAAGGCATGGGCTGTAAAACAGATCTACGACGACAGGGTGCACAGGGTACTGGTGGCGTCCGTCGCCTTCTTGCAGCTCGCCCCGACGACGGACCTGCCGTTCCCCATATGGCTGATGCAGAAGAGCCTCACGCACGGCGCAGAGGCGCGTCCCGGGGCGCCCCTGCAAGGGCGTGGAGTGGCAAGGGGGGTAGGAGGGGAGGGCGTATAAAAGGGGGGCGGTAGTCAGGTGGGGAGGCAGTGGGATGAGAAGGAGAGGAGGGTGAGTGCGAATGGGCGGGGGGGTCTTGAGAGATACGCCTCTTGCCACTCCATCCCGCAGACCGCCGGTCGCCCTGACATGTTCTGGGGATTCTTCGGAGACCAAGTGATGGAGCAGAGCGGGTACGAGCAGGATTCGGAGAAGCGCAATGCGAGGATCAAGTTGCTGAAAGCGAAAATCGCCACCTTGGTGAAGAGCAGGCCCAAGTCGAAGGAGAGGGAGATGATGGACGATCTCTTCGGCATCTTCTCGGTGGCGCCCGACTTCATCAAGGCAGCTTTCCCGTCTGATTTCAGGTTTCTGAATGTTTTGGCCGATCCTGCGGGCGAGTCCACTGCGCTGTCCCACGCCTCGTTCAAGGAGTTCGATGAGAAGAAGTTGGACTTCGCCGGCGCGATCGCCGACTGGGACACGGGCTCGGGCGCCGTGGAGCACGCGCGGTCGGCTTATGAGAAGAAGGTCAGTGACGTCGTCGTCGTCTTCGTCGGTCGTCGAACGTCGGTCGTCGGTCGTCGGTCGTCGCCGCTCGTCGTCGCCCGTCGTCGTCCGTCGTCGTCGCAGGTCGAGGTTGGAAAATGGCCTTCGCAATTGTCGGCCTCTGGAGGCCCGTCTCGGGCCCTGGGGCCATCCAGGATCGATCCAGGCTGATGTCTCCATGTCAATCGTTCTCTTTTGATGTTCCATCTCTCTCTCTCTCTCTCTCTCTCTCTCTCTCTCTCTCTCTCTCTCTCTCTCTCTCTCTCTCTCTCTCTCTCTCTCTCTCTTTATGCGGCCGCCGCCTCCAAGGTGGAACGCGAGAAGACGGGGGCGCGCGTCCAGACGGCGCTGGTGGACGTCGCGAAGCACCTCGACGACTCGGACTTGGAGAAAGCCTGCCTCGCATTGAACACCGTGCGCCAACAGGCGGTCCCAAGCAAATCTCGGGTTCCCGTGAGAGGCTGGGGGGGGGGCATCGGGCCCAGAGGGCCAACCGCTCTGCCTTGGTAGGATAGGGGGTAGAGGAGGGCCAGGGGAGGGGAGAGGTGGGGCGGGCGGGGGATGGGCGGGGAGGAGACGGGGCCGGCGGAGGGAGGGGGTGGGAAGGCAAGAGCGGGGGAGTTGAGCGATGCGCCGATGTGCCTGATGCCCCCCCCCCGCCTCTTGCGCAGTTGGAGCAGCAGGGCGAGAGCGGGGATGAGGACCTAGGCTCCATGCAGGAAGCGCTGAAGACCACGGGAACTCGTTTGTCAGCACTTGTCTTCTCAACGTTTTCCACGGAGGTCACGTCGATTATGAAAAGCGGCGACCCGTCCACGTTTGTCAGAGTGCAGCTCATCGGCGAGGGCGAGACTCAGGAGGAGAAGCATGAGACGGAGGTGGACTGGATCTCGGAGGCTTGCTCGGTGCTCGCTTGTGAGAAGATCCTCCCGGTGGGCGACGCCCGCGATCGCAAGGCCGCTGCCGAGGGGGAAACGCTTGTTCTGAATATCATATATCTCGCGTACATGCACGAGTCCGTGGACCACCAGGGCGACGACATCTACCCTGAAGGCGAGAAAGGCCAGCAGATGGCGTTAGAGATGCTCCAGAAGATGGCAGGTTCAAAGCCGAGCGAGACGTTGGCACTCAAGCTAACCCAGGATTGCTTGGCCGAGCTGCAGGCGCATCGCGAGAAGTGGCTCGCTGGCAAAATGATCGGCGGTGCTCACCGTTGTGCTATCAAGGCCTTGGGCGATGCTTACAAGGACGTCAGCACGGCGATCCAGACTTACGAGTTCAGGGCCACCGAGGCAAGCGGCTCCCTCTTCAAGGACAACGATGCCAGGGACAAGCTCGCCGCCCTCCTGGACGAAGACCTGGGCCACATATTCGCAGGGATCGCTCGAGTTTCTAACTTCTTCCAGGTGCATCACGTCAGGCAGAAGATCAGCTTTCTCAGGAAGTATCTGGACGTGTCGAGGCACTGCGCTAAGATGGAGAAGTGGTTGGCCAGCGGCGAGGATTCCCCCCGGAAGATTGCCATGACAATGGATAGCGCCAAATCGTACAAGGTCCTGCAGGACGCGGTGACTCTCGTGAACGACATGGCCAACACCATGCGCAAGAGGGCGAGTGTGGAGGACATCTCTGCGGCGCTCAACTTCCACGGGCCAGAGGCCGCTCTCGTCGATTACTTTCCGCCCAGCCTCAACCTGCCGTGGGCGGCAATGCTTGACGCGGTCAACCGCCAGGGCGTGGCGGCCCTTGAGAGCACCAAGGCCGCATGGGAAGGTCATATGCAATCTCTTCGCAACACCCTGCAGGGCGCCTTGATCCCTTGGGAGCACGTGGGCGAGAAGTTGCTCACGCCTGAGGCGGAGGACGTGGCGACCACCCTGATGAAGAATAAGGCATACGGGAACGTGTCACCGCTCGCCGGAAGCATCTCCGACATGCTCAAAGTATGCAAGTTCTATTCGGACATTATCCCTAAGGAGTTGGCGAAGAGTTCAGAGGAGGTCGCCAGCGCGGGTTTGAAGCTCGTCTCGGTCACGTTCACGCTGTACCATTTGAAGGTGGTTTTCCCGACCGTCAAGGGGGCCAAGCTGCAGACCGCGGAGAAGGACAAGCTGAAGGCGCAGCACGCCGCTAGCCAGTTCAAGGACTCCTGGGAGTGCCTGCCCGCCGCCTTGAAGAAGGCGGTGGATTCGTTCGGTGCGAAGGGCGGCGCCGCGGGGGCGCCAGCATGAGTTGATGCTCGGAGTTGATGCTTCGTAGTTGATGCTTTGTAGTTCGGCCTCATGATGCTCGGAGCTGATGCTCTGAGTTGATGATTTGTGGTTGATGCTCGTAGTTGATGCGCGCTCGGCCTCATGATGCTCGGAGTTGATGCTTCGTAGTTCGTAGCTTTGCCGGGCCGCTGCCGCCCTCCTGGGGTCGCTTCTCGCCGCGAGGCGTCGCAGCTGCTGGGCCATGGGATGGGGGATGGGGGATGGGGGTCCACGGCGAGCCTCCGCGGGTTCTGCCAGTTTTGCTTTACGCCGCGAGGCGTCGCGCGTCGCAGCCTGGCCATGGGCAGCGAGAGGGTCCACGGCGAGCCTCCGCGGGTTTCGCTGCGAGCGCGCGGCGCGCGGCAGCCGACAGCCGCTGCCACTCGGGGGCACCGAGGCTCGCCCCGTTCCAGCAACGGATGGGGATTCGAGGCACTTGGGTAGGGGAAGGGTTGGAGTAGGACATAAGTTATGTTCATGCGCTGGCCCGATCACCGTCCGTTTTAAACGATGTGCGATGACCTTGGCGAGTGGAATTTTACTATCGAGATGAACTGTGGGACTGTGAAAATGAAGAGCCGTCGCTGTCTCCAGGTCCAGCGTTCGGGGGGGAGGAATGGAGTCGAGGAAGGGCTGAAATGCGGAAATGCGCTTTGTCTGTAGAAGAGGGGGCCACTGGGGAGGGGCAAAGCACGAGCAAGATACGTACCCCTCGTAAGTGGAGGCCCCATCCAGCCCAATGAATGAGGATGAGGATGATGAGGATGAGGATGATGATGATGATGATGATGAGGATGATGAGGAGGAGGATGAGGATGAGGATGAGGATGATGATGATAATGAGGATGAGGAGGAGGAGGAGGAGGAGGATGAGGAGGAGGAGGAGGAGGAGCCCAGGCCCTCGAGCTGTGGTCGTCCAGCCCCGCCGGCGGCGGCGAGGGGCGACAGCCCCCGAGCGAGGGCGCCAGGCCCACCTCGGCCTCCCCCAGGGGATGGCGCTGTGGTCGCCCAGCCCTGCCGGCAGCGGGGGGGGAGGGACGGCAGCCCCAGTGGGGGGGGCGCTTGGAGGAGGAGGGGGTAGAGGAGGAGGAGGAGGAGGAGGAGGAGGAGGAGGAGGAGGAGGAGGAGGAGGAGGAGGGAGGAGGAGGAGGAGGAGGAGGAGGAGGAGCAACCTCGCGCTTCGCGTAGCACGGCCGTTGTTTTGGCAGTCCTAAGCTAGGGGGCCGTCTTGGGGGGTTGTCTCGGGGAGCTGTTTTGGGGGATTGTCCTGGGGGGGCTGTCTTGGGGCGCCTGTCCTGGGGGTGCTGTCTTCGTGGGCCTCCGGGCCTCCTGCCCCCTCCGTCGCTGTAAGTTGTGCGTCTTGTTTTTTTTTGTCGGCGCTTCCGCCGCCTTTTTGTGGCGGGTGATGCTCGGTATCCACCTTGGGCGGTCTGCCCTTTGCTTGGTCCCGTTGCCGTGTTTGGTTGTTTTTTTACGCGCTTCGGTGCAACTTTGCGGCGCGTCGTCCGTGGCGCGGTGATTTCGCCGAAAGCAGGCGGTGGTAGCGTTTCCGATGTTCCTGGAGGCCTTCCCGCGCCTGCCGAATTAATTGTATTTAATTGTTTTTATGTTTTTTTTGAATGAATTAATTGTAATTAATTGTTTGTTTAATTGTTTTTTGGCGGGCGGGTTTCTGAATTAATAACTTAAAACTGTTTTGTGATAGTTGGGGCCCCTCAAGCTAAGCCAGAAGTGGAGTTGAGAGTGCGACGCCCTCGTTTCTTCCAGTGGATGGCCCGATCCCCCGAAGCTTTTCGGGAAGCACTCGCAGCAGTATTTGGGCAGGCGAAGTTCGAGCGACCGCTGGGCGCCCCGCGCGTGGGCGACGACGGCTGGCCGATCGGGACTTCCGCGATATGGCGCCATCAGCTCGCGGGCGACCTAAGGGCGATAGGCGCCGGAAGTGGCGAGTTCGAGGAGTGGCGGGAGGAGTTGCAAGGGGCGCCCGGAAGGCAGCTGGACCTGCTCGTCGAAGGAGACATCCACTGGCAGCTCGTGAACCCCGACGCGCGAGCCATGCGCGCCGCGGCCTTTGTCGCGCAGATCACGCAACCCGAGGCGGCGGCTGTCGGCGCGGGCCTTGCTGGCAGCGATAGCGAGCTGTTGGCGGCGCCGCCAACGGAGTTCTGCTGCTGCGACGCGGTGGATGGCCCGCGGCGCGGGTCATGTCTCTCCTCCGTTGTTGCACTTGAGACCCATCGCCATGTCGCGCGCGGGGCCCGGCGCGAGCTGCGTCGTCCAGTCGCCGCGAATCCACGCGCACGGCGCTCGCGCTGCTTTCCGCCGAAGGAGGGCGGCGCGCAACATGTCGCGGCTGGCAGGGGGGGGTTCAAGTGTGGCTCAGTGGGAACGATGGGTGCGCGCGGTTGACCGCTCGCCGCGGCGCCGCGACCCGATCGATCCCCCGTCCTTCGCCTGCTGCGCGCGCGAACGGCCCTTCATCCAGTTGCTCGAACTTCGAGTCCATATTCTCGCGCGTCGCAATGGCCGCGCTGGCCTTGCTGGCTTTCGGTTGAAAGCGATGGCGGAGGCCGCGGCGGCGATGAACGTCGAGGGCGCCCCGCCTCGCCGCCCAGCGTGTCCACGGCCCCGGCGAGAAGCGCGCGGGCGGGCGCCGCGAGGAGGCCGCGGTCCGCGACCGCGGAGGCGAAGGGCGAAGCGGCGGCGAGGGGCAGCAAGGCGCCGAAGGGCGAGACAGCAGAGACGAACAAAGGCAAGACATACGGGGGCGAGGGCGGCAAAGAGAGCGGCAGACCCAAGGGGGCGGCGAACAAGAAAGCAGAGGGAGGCGGCGGAGCAGGGCATGCCGAAACCAGCTCTGCCGACGACGCGACGTTAACCAGGCTCCAGAAGGGCGCGCTCAACGCGACGCAGGGCCAGAGGGCGCCAGGGGGAGGCGGCGCTGGACTTCGAGCTGGCACCCGCGAAGAGCGAGACGGCGAAGGCGGGGGGGGGCCAGCAGGGAGGGGCGCGGCAACGCGTGGAGGCGCAGACCTACTCGGAAGCGAAGCTGGGCAGATCCCACATCCAGATCGCGAAAGCAGCGGTCAACAGCCTGGCGGGCGCGGAGTTCGGGAACGACGAGCAGGTCACCCCGGCGCAGAATCTGCCGCGCCTGCCCAGGAAGGCGCAGGAAGAGACATCGCGCTTGACGGGGGGGGCTCTCAGGGCGCCCAACCAGTGCGCAGAGGGCGAGGTTCGACGAGGGCGAGGACGAGAAGGCGCTATGGAAGCTGACAGTGAAGTTCAATTTGCCGGCGACGACGTCGTTGGAGGACGCGAGCTGGCTGAGCACGCAGGGCGCCGGGAAGGCGCGCAAGGGCGACGGCCGCTACGTTGGCATGGTGCCCGATCACCAGGTCGTCACTGAGGACTTGCGGACGGCGATTGCGCAGCTGGTCGCGCGCGGGGGCGCGGTCGACAGCCGCGGTCAGCCGTCTCAGGGCCGGCCAGGGCGTGACCCCCAGAAGAATCTCACAGGCGCCCCGAAGAAGCTCATGTGAGTGAGGTCAGCGAACTGAGGAGGCGACGGGCCTCGGTGGAAAGGATGGCGGCCGCCACGGCGCCCGTCCGAAATGAGGGATCGGCCGAAGGATTGAGGCAGCAGATGCAGCGGGCCGAATCGCTCCAAAGGAGAGTCCGGACCGACCGCGACGGTTCGTTGGATCCCCCCCCTGTCCAATGCGGAACTGTGCTCGTGCATCCCTGTGATGGGCAGCGAGCGGGGGCCAGACGAGCCACGTTGATGTGGCCATCAGTGTTCGTTTTGAGCGGCCCCCTGGCTGCATCGGACATCCGTCGCCGCCGGACGGAGCGGATGTGCCGAAGGCCTCCGCGACGAGCGTCGACATCGCTGTGTCCCCCGAGGCGCCGAATTATTACGCTTTTATAGCGCACGCATGCATGAGTGAATAGTGTATTGGTGATGTGTACATTTCCGATGTGGGTTCACCGCAAGTTTCAGGAGTGGAGAGAGGAGAGAGGAGAGAAGCTAACTAGGTGCGCCCGCGCCACATGTGACATCTGACCCCTCCCACCCATCCCCTTCCATTGCGCTGAGTTGTTCTCTATCTGCCGGCGCGTGTCATAGCGGAGTTGGATCTCCAAAGCAGACCCCTTTTGTGCAATGCGTAATCGGAGAAAAACGAGACTTGCGCACATTGGTGGACGAGTTGGCGGATGAGCACCAGGCCTGAGGATGAGCAGGAAGGAGGAGGCTTGGAAAAAGAATCAGGACGATGACATATAGCAGCAGCAGTAGCTGGAGTGGAAAGAGCGGGGGGCGGGGTGAGCAGGAACGCCGGGGAGAAAGAACTCGGATCCAGAAAAGGAGCCCGCGTCTGGGCGAGAGCGCCATTCAAAACGACGGGGGCCAAACCCCGATAGTAAAATGAGACCCGCGGTGCAGCGGGAGCACAAGTCTAGAAGAACCAAGACCTTCCGAGGTGGAAACACACTTCAGGGAAATCAGGTCGGACCCATCCTGCGTGCGCCGCCACCTGAATACGCGGAGGGGCGCGCGATACTGTCAGGACGTCTTCGGGGGAGAGAAGAGCAGCAGTACGGTGGTGGCCTTCGTTCATGACAGCGCCCAGGAGGTGTCAGACTGTGGATGATTCCTTATCTGATGAGGGCATCGATGATATCCATGGCCAAGCCGCACTTGGTTTTCCACCCGTTTCCAGACCTTGGCTTATGTATAGCAGGGTTCCTTATCGAGTGCGTTCACCGTAATCATGTATATAAACACACACACACACACACACATATGTAAATATCTATATATATAGAGAGAGAGAGAGAACAAAACAACTAAACAGAGACTACTGTCGGGAGGTTTTCGGTAGCGTGTCGCTCCGCTGATTCTGGCCTACCGCGCCTCGGTGCGACACGCTATCCACTTCCGGGTCCTCCAGCGTCAATCCGCCGAGTTGTTCCGA